TCTTATACACATCTAACTTCTGGATAAGTTGCCAAAATATTATCAAGTAAAATAATTTATTCCCATTGTTTTTATTTTCAAAGGTTGTTTGAACTTCCTGAAACTCTGCAAAGTGAAGTACTATAACTTTTGTTTATTTCATTCTGTACAGGTATGTGGTCAACATATTTTTGTAAATTTTATTGTTTGGACATTTGGAATTTTCAAATCTCTTCTATAATACGTATGATATGGTGATATCAAATTATGAAACATGATAGGCTTGGCACCTTGACCTCTAAAACGGGGCAATCAATGTGGCCGACGGTTGTTGGCCGACGGTTGTTGGCCAACGCGATTCCATGGATAACACGCCACGGCACGCACACAATTGATCATTTTTAATGACGATGTGTTCAGACTGCCATTGACATTCGTTGTGCAAAGGTCGTACAACCATCATATGATGTAGTGAGTGCTCGGCCTAATAATATGATTAGTGCCTGAAATTTATTGCACAAACATAATATACTGTCTCTTATACACATCTAGATGTGTATAAGAGACAGATATATATATATATGTATATTATTGTAGAAGCTATTTCACAGTAACTAGACACGCACTAAAAAATAATAATTTTTAGCAAGGTATAACCAAAGATTTTATTGTTTAAAATGGAATATTTTGCTAATACAAATGCAGTAATGCATCTAATAAAATACACGAAACTAATAAACATGTTTCGACGTGTCAACACGTCATCATCAGGCAATAACGCTATGCTATGGTCAGATGTATGACCATGGAGGTATAATATTTTTATACCTCCATGGTATGACTAACAAGCAAATACTAAGGTAAGTCATACATATAAAAGGTCATGAATACCATGGTAAGTCATAAGAATTACAATTAGAGTGTAATACACAAATAAAAATTCAAATAACCTTTATTGTCCGATAAGGAAAGTCGTCTTGCTGACAGAGCTCATGTTAAATATAAAAACAATAATGAGTTATTTGTTTGTTCAGATTTCACCAAGTCCTTTAGTTTAAGTTGATAGTTATTGCGTGCGGAATCAAGAATGGTGAAGCAGTCTGAATTAGATGTGTTTTCCATTTAACATAGTTTTGAAGATCTTCAAAACTGTGTGATGACTTGTCCGGAACTAAGTGCTCCTTTGCCAGTGTTTCTAAATTTATATTGGTCTCATCAATATACAGAGTTACACCCCCCGCAAGTTGGGACATAGTCTTTTACATGATGATTTATGATTTAAAAGCAGGTTTAACATTAATTTAAGAACAATAATGTTTGACCATAGAGTTGATTTTTCGTTGACAATAGTTGGATAATGGTGTAGAAGGTAACTTGAAATAAGAAGGTTGTGTTTGCGTTTCAGACTGGATCTAAAATGTTGGGCGATAGTTTTCCGTTAAGATAATTGTGTATTTACATTTATATAATGATTGAGAGTACATCATACTAAAAATCATTTCAAAAACATACAATTTGCAGTAAATAAATAATGATATATTTGCGTAATTTCTAGCCATATTTCACAACAAAAAATATAAAATGACGAAAATGTCTGAAATTGAATTTAGCATTTTTTTTCATTGTATTTCAAGGACTAGCTCGTTATTTCTATAAGAATTGTATTGGAAACTAACAAAATGAAACGCTAGAATGAAAAATAGATGGCGTCCTTTATGGCGGTATTTTCAAATTGTTTCTGTCTGTAAATTAGGCCTATATAATATATAAAAATGTATTCCATGATAATGTAAGAAAATTTATGACGTTTCGTTTATTTTCATGCTAGTCATTATATAATTTACCGAATATAAAACACATTTTATCAATCGATGTTTCCACATGGCACTGACTTAGTTTTGTAGAACAGTAGCGGATTCAATAGGGGGCCCAGCCAGGCACCCCCTCCTCCCCCTCAACTTAAAAAAAGTTGTATTCAAATATAAAATCTGAGAGCACAATTTACGGCCATTTAAAGGTGCCATAATCATAATTTCTTTAAACTCATTTCCAACCATGATAGAGCTCGCGGTCATCCACTCAAGTCTAGGCACTATTGTAGAACAAATTTGTGTCATAATACTCATTCTCTAGAAGAATATTTACTTCATGGAATTCTTTGCCCGAAGACGCTGTTGTGGCCTCTAGCATTAACCACTTCAAGTGTGTTCTTAAATAGTACGGTACTGGGTTATAGATATCCGCTCAAATGCTTCTTATCAACGGATTGACCTGGTAGCATCGAGGGGCCTCAGGCTATTAGCCGTTTTGCAGGGCCTCAATGCAATTCTAGGATTTCCCTGGAATTCAGTTGTTCTGAAAGTTTAACCATAGAGCAAAAAACTGTTTCTTTGCTCTATGGTTTAAACCCGTGATGTGGTCAAGACAAACTATCTTTACAGTTTAAAGTCCAAGAACACCTCAGCACTAGGAGGCCCGTCTTCACGCAAAATAATAAAGAGTAAAAGAGCTGATGAAGCATTTTTGGAAGCAGAGATATAATATTATGTGCTTCAATAAAAATATATTTTTATTTTTTATTTATTTCTTGTTTAACCTGGGTTAACAACTCAGTTGAAAACCAACTGTTATCCTTATGTGCCCAGGATATTTCTATTGCCTATAGCCTATATTCAGCGTTTAAAATCACAGCTTCGATTCTTCAGCGTGTCAATGTTTCATAATCTGAAAAAGTAGATTTTTTAATAATAGTAATAAAAGTGCGAAATTTTTGAAATTAATTATTTATCATTTATCATTTTATTATTATTGTTGTTGGTATTACTATTATTATCACTATCATTAGTAAATGTTATAATTAGTATGTTATAGCATTTAGATATATCCATTCGAACCTCAGTATCCCTAATTATATCAATATTTCTTCCACCTTGAACCAAATTTGGGCAACAATTCACACCACGCGACAGGATATATCAAGTGCAGTTATGTTGACATAAAGAAGACATTATGATTATTTGGTCTGATAATTATCATCAACTTCATGCAAAATCTAGGATAAACGATATGTTAATGGCTATTGCATTGTATTCAAATCGTCAGTCATGTTCATGAAGATATTTAATGCTTGTGAAAGTAAGATGTTCTTACAAAACACTAAAGAAGCTCGATCAACCGCCTCATCATGCAATCTACTTGGTGTACAGCATTTTTATTCTTATTTCTAGCAATTGACGTTGCTTTATCTCAAAGTGAGTTTTACATTTTTTATTAGTTTAAATTCTGATTTCTTGCAGTCACATTTTGAAACTCGCGATTTGATTCTGGATTCGGGCCGGGGGTTGAGAACTAGGAGTGTAAATACCCAATGTCACAATAATGTAGTTTACTTTACATAGCGCTTTATACTGTACTGAAAGCGCTCGAAGCGTGGACTAGCTCGCAAAACTTTGTTTCTCTACCCGGTAAACCGATGACAGCTAAATAATAATTGTAGGGATTACAATTTTTTTTTTTGCATTTAAAGAAACAAATACCATAATTCAAATTTTTTAAAGCGCAGCCTAAACAAGAGCATGTAACTAGTATATAACTAGCATACGGCAGTTACTACCACATGGTAAGACATTATCGACTGAAATCGTGAATTTACAAATGAATGCACCAACAAAACGCCAAGTTATTGATAATGTAAAAGTGTAAACCATGCTTAATGCACGTAGGCCTACTCTCTCTCGCTCTCTCGTGATTTCAATAATCCAAAAATGCATTTTCTTTCTTTAGTATTCAATTCGACTGCCTTGTAAACAAAAAAAAAACACCAAAATTATTGGCATACTATTTATTTATTTATTCTTTATACTGGGTTACCTCTTCAGAATTTACTGTTCTCCCAGAGGGCCCAGTACATATAAAACATTAAAATCTATATCAATTGACTTTTAGGTGACTATTCTGTAAAACTGATCGGCGGTACAGGCATTGGCAATGGCACTTTAAAAGTCTGGAGGTACAGTAAATGGTATTATGTGTGCCATCGCTATTGGAATATAGATGAAGCTAGGGTTGTGTGCAGACAGCTTGGATTTCCAGACAACGCACCTGTAACACTGAGCAACGACGAAACTGTACACAGCAATCGCTACTTTGACAACTACTATATTAGTTGCCAGAGTACAGAAACGCATCTTTCGCAGTGTTCAAGAAGTTACGGTCATCACAGTTATTATAATTGTCATTACGCTGTAGTCACTTGCTCGAGTAAGATGGTTTTCATTTATTACTCATTGACGGTGATTTAATAATAATAAATGGTGATCAGACATAAAAAAAAATTGATTATTAATGCCATGCGAAAACCACCATCAGTGACCAAAACAAGAAAATTTACTTTTTAATATATTCACATGTTCATGAACTGGAATGGACTTTTTTTTGCTAAATCGTAAACCCTGAAAACTGGAGATAGAACTACTAAAATACAGTTTAGTCAATCTTTCCTTATGGCCCCGAAACTGACTCGGAAATACCGGGATGGTGTCCGGCGGGGAATAGCTGATAGTATCGTAGTTCAAAGCGCCTTGTGCGACCTGTTATCCTCTAGGCGCTATATAATTGCAGTATTATACTTATTGTGTATGTTTATTTTATTTATTCAATTTTCAGGTAAACCAACTACTGTACACAAAGAGAAACACAGGGAGACAAAATGAAAGCTCTAGCTGTAAAATAAACAGTACCCTGGGGATTTCCAAGAGAGTAAAACAATTTCAGAGTGGCTCTCAAATACTGCACATAATCAAACTAGCAGAAATACAATAATAAAAATACAAATTATTTATGTTCAAATATTTTCAAATTTAAAATGGTTAATTACAAGATTTTAAAATTTTATATAAAAATTAATTAAAGCAAATAATTGCACAATTCAAATTTCACGAACAGAAGAATAAAATTAAAATTATGTCTCTGACTTCAGTTGGAATTCGTTCTCATAAACGAAAAAATTTATAAAAAGAGAATAGGCCTACTTAAACGAATTAGTTCTAGCAAACTTATGTTTAAACACTACTGAATCATTATACCTAGAGTTAGGATTTATAAAATCATGAATATTAAAATCAATTTCATTAGAAAGGCTCTAAACAATAAATAAAATACTAAGTTTGTATGCTTATTGCAATGAAGTGTATGAAGGAATATATATTCCGGTTGGAGCAGCTTTTTTACACTCGCCTATCCATAGTCCTAAAATTAGCATAATTATAGTACACAAGAGTTTATCTCTATTTATAACACTAGACCAAATTAGTAAAATGTATTGCGCTGAGTTGAAATTTAGCTAAAAAATACAATGTCAATATTTTAAATAAGACTTTAATGTGATCCTGAATTATTTTTTAGATTATTATATTTGTTTGTTAAATATGCTATGGTTTACGTGAAACACTCAATACATTCCTCTTTCCACTGAATCTTTTAAGTAATATACTTCAGTTACTTAAGCCGTACTCAACATTATTTACTACTGTACTTGTAAGTCTAATACACCAGTTGATCTAATCATGATCTAATTATCAGACATCACAACGTCAACCTTTCGGCTCGCTGGTGGGAGTTCAGCTAACAAAGGACGTGTCGAGTTGTGGAGTGGATACAGCTGGGTGCCAATAACAACGTCTACCTGGACAAGTGCAGAGGCGAAAGTCATCTGTAGACAGTTGGGATTAGTTGATGGCGTTATTTCATACGGATCTTCCTCGGGCTACACAAGGGCCCGCTATGGCCAATCTCAGAGTACAGCATGTTATAAGGTTGCACAGTGTTCAGGCTGGGAACCGATGTATAGTGATTGTGGGGAACACTTTCTTTCATCTTATTGTCCTCATGACCACGACGTCAGCGTTGAGTGTCACCCTAATAGACAAAACATCGGTAAGTCGATTCGAAGAAAGTTAAAGAGGTATTGTCCCCTTGAAAATGACAAAAACAAATCAAAAAATTAATTTTGAAGTTAACTTGCTCATTTTGCAGGAACACACAAATTATTACCTTGAGTATAGAAATTATTGAATTAAAAAAATGTGTACCCTGTTTTAAACCGAATAATTATAATAAAACTATTTTTAGTGACTGGAGTGTTTCTGTCAATTTTGTTTTAAAATGAACATTTTTTAAATACACTAATTTCTGTTTTCAAGTTGTTAATTTCCATGTTACTTCAAAATGGGCAAGATAATTTTAAAAATCTTATGATTTTTTTTGGTACTTCTAATAGCATGGAACTTGCAATTAAGTTTAATATAATTATACTCCAATTTGCACACTCTATTTTTATCATATAGGCCTAATTCAATTAAGGATTGGCCCTAGGCGAGATCAAGTCTTAACAGGTCAGCTATTAAAATAAATTTTCATTGTCTTTTACATTAATCTTCCTCAGAATGTCACTGCTTGACGTCATCAAAATGTAGCTTCACTACTGGAAGCTGCCCCGACGATCAGTGCTCGGTGGGATGGGCAGGAGATTACTGCCAGATAGGTATAAACATCTTGCTATGCTATGTTAAACTTTAAGTTTTATTAAAATTAATCCGTATTGTATTTGCACTGAACACACTGTAGCGACAGTGTAGCGATTTTAAGGAAACCAAGATTGATATCAAACTTTGGTATTGGTGAATACAGGCCACTCCGGCTTAATTTGTTAAAAGTATTGGTTTTTTTTTCTTGACAAACATTTAAAAATGAACGAAAAATTGTCAAAATTAAGAAAGTCGTAATTTTTTATATGAGAAATTTAGACCGTATCCATTAATAAAATTACTTGTATTGATGCTGTTTCATTTATTAATCATAAGCCGTAACTGACTATTGTAATTTCCGTTTTGGAGGAATGTCTAAAGACAATTTTTATTTAGTCACTGTAATTAATACAAAAACGAGCGGCACGTTGGTTTTTTGAGTACCAAAGTGTAGGCCTAGTAGTACTTCTTCCTGAATTCACCAGCTTAACTGGACTTTGGTATTGGTAGTTCAGAAGACAGGAACATTATAACATCCTTATTATTTATCTAAAAATGTGCCCCTGTTTGTTTGCAATATTTAATTGTTAATTACCAGTGTAGTAGAAGTGGACTCGGATCTGCTCTGGACACTCATAGGCTTATGGTTCCATTCATGAAGACCAACGCAGGAAACAGTTCATTATCTTTTCTCTGATTGGAAGGTGTTGCCCCTTAATATACATAAATCACCTTTATTAAAACTCAACATAATGTTGTAGTAAAACACCTTTACTAAAACTCAACCGAAAGCTGTAGTAAAATCTACAGTTAAGTTAACCTTTGATTCATGAGTGTCCAGAGCTGATCTGATTCTTTGACATGATTATTATATCTTTTTTGCACTGTGTATGTGATTCAAGTGATGTTGTATGGTTCTCGATAATTGTAAATGTAATGCGCTTTGTTAAAAGTGCCATATAAATGAAATAAAATAAGATACTACTAACACACTACTACCAATACAACGACCACGGATACCACCACTACTACCACTAACACCACCACTACTACCACCACCACTACTACCACCATGCGCACCACCACAACATTGGTGTACATAAAACATAGTTTTCATTTCGAATTTTGAAAAATCCTAGAATTTTAGGAGTATTATGGACTTTACCCTTCATTTACCATCATAGTTTGATATTAAAATAGAGTTACCGAGGTTGACAGCACCACCACAGATTATTTTTGAAGAACCAAACAACTCAAGTTCAACAAGCCCAATTGTTAGATGGGATGAATGGTCGTTTGATGATGATATGGGTATTGGAGGACCTGTTATAGGTTATTCTATTCATTACGTCGACATGTCTCAACTTGGATACAAAGAAGTGTTAGTTGATGACGTAGAAACTACATCATATCGTTTAGATAATCTTCCTCCAGGAAGAAATTACGACGTAGGTATATCATGTTTGATAAAAACAGGAGCTGTGACATCACGAGGCCCTCTATCACCAACGGTGAATTTTACAACACCAAGAGAAAGTACGTATTGTTTCATAGTATATTATCCATAAATCAGTATATTTATTATTCTCATGCATATCAATATTAATAAAAAAAAAAAAAGTAGCTTAGGTCAGTTGGCTAAATGGGTAGCGGGTCATCTTTCGGATGAGACGTTAAGCCGCTCTGATTTGGCACGTTAAAAAAAAAACGCAGTAGGGCTAACACTCTTCGGAATAGAGTAAGGTATTGTCTCCTAGTGTATTGAACAATTTACCACCATCAGGACCACACTAAAATAAGTCTAAGTGTTCTATCACTGGCATATTTCAAAATACCAACCAATCTAATTAAATCCAATTATTATTATTATTATGTACGGTAATACAGTAGATTGTACCTTGGAAACACATGGATTTTATTTCTATTCATTCACTTATCTATACTAATACCAGATACTAGGTTGGATTTTGTGCTACTTAACTATAACCCAATGATACAACTTGATAACGCCGAATCTAGTCTGAAAATAGGAGGTTATGCCATCGGCGAGGACAGAACTAACAATATCAATTTCGGACGTCGAGTTGATAGTGGAACTGGTGTAGACGGACATGAGCTTGGCTGGCTGGACAACGGGGTCTTGCAAACGAATGACAGCATGTTTCCTGTACAAAGTGTAGTGTTACAGACACCACTGTATGACTTCACAGGACTGTTGCTACAACTTCCTGCCAGTATCAGCGCTGAGAATATTGGTGCGTTTTATTCTTGGGCAACTATCGGATTACTAAGTACCAACGTTACGACTTTCACCATTTCAAAAGAAGGTAGAATTGTTGGCAGTTATTTATTTATTTATTATCAATTTGATACTAAGAAAGGAACAAATGTAAAATGGGTGAGGTAACCAGGAGAGTGTCGGCAGTAAGACATAACAAGGCCCAACACAATTGGTAATCCACTCCCTCTCCGAATAAGTATTATACGCTATAAAGACGATTATATGTGCTATCAAAATACAGATACAAATATCAATCATCGTCAGTGTTGAAAACGGATATCAATTTAATAAGCCTATTATCTTTCACGAAGTTCAAACAATGAAACAAACAAATCGCTTTCTATTAGGCCCTCGAACAAAACATAAATAATTGTTGTAAAAAGCCATTTTTACCCCGCATAAAGGTATGAAAACAAAAATGTCAGTATTTAGAAACGAATAAAATGCCACTGTTTTTTTATAATTCCAAATTTACAAATATTGAAATTGCATTTAAATGTATTGTGTTGTTATTTGCAACATTTATATTTATAAAACAATGTTCTTATAGATAGTTTTATTCCTTTAAAAAACAGCGAAAGTTCTCTTTGCAAGCACATCTAACATCTAAGGAAAGAAGAGCTTAGATTGGTACCAGATAAAATAATTTTGTTATCAACATTAATACATTATGCTAATTTTCATCTTTTTAAGCGCATAAGACAGTGCAAATTATTTCTGTGAGTCTTTTGGAGTGTGTAAAAGCTCCATTTTATCCCATACATAGTCAAAATATTGGGGGGGGGGATGATACCTGTCTCTTATACACATCTAGATGGGAATAAGAGACAGGGCCTATATAGGCCTATTTGCCAGCACATCCAGCCGTTGATTTTAATATGATATGAAATTTGTTGGAAATTTATCGTCTCCGGTGACTGCATATTGACCTATAATATGAACAATCTTATCTGTAGGCCTGCAGATGTACAGGACGTAACGTTACTTCTTTAGGCCCCCAAAAAACCCAAATTAATGAAAATTTAAATAAAATATTCATGAATATTCTGTTTGAGAAATCCATTGTATAAGACGCTAAAAATGCTACTTTGTCGGAGCCTCCTGGGGGATTTTTTTAAAACCCCCTTCAGGTCTCCGCCCCTGGACCACCAAATTCCAAAAAGTCCACTTTTTAAAACCTATTATTTCATTAAAATCCTGATTATCGCGAAATGCTATATGCCTATGCATTACATTTTTTGCCCGCTCTTCTAACTGTTGATTTTTAATAATGTGCTACGTAATCTGTTGGAAAGTATCAGCTCTAGTGATTGCAGATTGATCCACGTGAATGTGGCAGATTAGTGGGGTGTGGGGGGAGGAAGTGGCAGATAGGGGGGGGGAAGTGGCAGATTAGGGGAGTGGAGAGCTCCCTTAAATTATAATGAAATGGAGAAAAAATAAAAAAAATCATAATTAAATTTTGTTTGAGATTGCCATTTCCGGCCATCTAGAGGTGCCATAATCATACATTTTCTTACCTCAGCCCCAACCATGGCGGGGCTGAGGTGGTATTGACCATCCGTCTGTGAAAGTTACTTCCGGCCCTGGACCCCACCCTCTATTTCTCTATTTTCTATTAAATGAAAATTTATATAGAATATTACGAATTATAGGTTTGAGAAATCCTTTATAAGGCCCTCAAAATGCTAATTTGTCGGAGCTTCCGGGGATTCGCACCCCCCCCCCCCCTCACCGCGGGGATCCCTAGGCGGTCGCCCATCCTAAGGTCAGCTTCGGTCGCAAAAACGCACCCCCCCATCGAAAATCCTGCCTACAGGCCTGTCACCTAAATTATACCCTGGGACTTTGCCCGGGGAAATGTCTTTACGCGGAGTGGGCGTAAAGTCGGGGTGGGATTAGGCCTATAGCCGAGGTGGGACTATACCCGAGGAACTACGGTAGGCCTATATGAACTATTTATACAAATACGTTTTCAATATGTTTGTAATTGATATATTTGTAAACTTGTATAATGTTCTTAAAAAATGCATGATTATTTTAAGTGTGTCCTTATGGGACGTTTGGTGCCGACTGTAAAAGCACGTGTCATTGCAAGTTTGGTGCGTGTGACAGGTCAAAGGGATGTTGGAACATCACTTGTGATAACGGCTTTCATGGACCACAGTGCCAAGGTATTTTAATAGATGTGAAGGCAGTTACTGTTGCCACAGACATTACTATCGATGAACGTGAATCAATCAATAGGATGGAAATAAACCATAGTATTTGTCAGATTTATTTATTTTCATTTTTCATTTAGTAAGTCATCAGACACAAAAGTTTGTGGAAACATGTAGAGTCTAAAGACTGTTACTGAAGCCTTAGTCTATTATCATATCTGCCTAAAAGTTAGTAATATATAGAGCAGAAGTAGCAGAGAGCGTGCTAACTAAATATTAATTATTGTTTTACAGAATACAAGGATTCGACCCCATGTCCTGATGGGTTTTATGGTACATTATGTCAGTATAAATGTCACTGTTCATTGAAGGATAAATGTTACAAGAACGGAACATGTCCCCTTGGCTGTCAAGAAGGCTGGGGAGGCGATGACTGCCAATTTGGTGAGACATAGTCTCATACAAGAAGCCTTGAAATTGATATTATATTATAGTAAGACTTGATGATGTAATAGTATTTAATTATTTTGTATACAATATTACAAGTAATAATATATATTTGTTTATATAATAATTTTCCTTTGTGTTCTATTGTAGCAATTCCTGCTCTTCGTAACCCTCCTCGCATTTCAAAGTCTAATTTCCACAGTCTCCATATTGAGTGGGACAATTGGAGAGTTCACCACGACTATGGCCTAGGTACGGTCACAGGATATCGTCTATTCTATCGATATACAACACCCTCCCCTGGAGCACAACGAACAGGAGAATATACTCTGAAAACAAAACTAATTCTTAGTCAGATAAATCCTTGCAGAAGGTATGAAATATACATTCGAGCGTATAGGAACATATCTGGAGAACTTGTTGGAGGAAGACCAAGTCCAACTGTATATCATGACATGGCCTGCAACTGTAAGTTATTACTTTGTATGATTTATATGCATTACATGTTGCCATTTTATTAATAACATTTGAATTATAACAACTATCTTCATTTACTTAGATGGGAGCGTTGAAGTAACATTAATGACACAACCTGCAGCTGTTGACATGGAAAATAAATCGGAGGATATGAAGATTGCAGTTTATTCGGGCGCCCTCTCTACGAGTATACAGCTGGGACGGACTTGCGATACTGGTGCAGGGAATACTGGACGTCCTGTGTCCTGGTTTGATGGAAGTCCTTTTCCAGGGTCACATGTCCTACCAACCATGGTGTTTCCAAGGAATACTTTGATAGAAACGATTGTTACGTACAAATACCACGCCCTTGTCGCCAAGATTCCCGGAGAATCGTTTAAGGCCAAAGGTGGTGCATTCTCAGCTGAAATTCTGGGAACATGGGCATTACCGAGCAAGTCGTCGGTAATCGTATTAGACAAAGATGGTATAGCATACTTTCATTATTTGTTTGCTTTAATTGTTAACAAACTATTCAAGTGTGATTAACTATGTATTAAGTCTATTATCGGACAATAGTAAAGCAAAGGGTGTATTACAGAAAGTGTAATAAAACAATTAAATATTTCTGTAATTATTAATACATTTTATATATTTGATTTTCTATATTTCGTTAAAGTAATTTTTTTATTGAATTTTATTGACCACTGTGCATTTCAGCTAACCCAAGGCCTACTTGCAGATCAATTGTAGTAGGAACTGGTGACAGAGTTGTCCTGTCTGTCGTCGTCCTCGAGGGCAACACAACCGGACTGAGATGGCGGCACAACGGTCGTGAAGGAATAAAACAATGGAAGGATAAGGGGACCGTGATCATAGAGCATGTGCGAACTGAAGATAGTGGCATTTATGAGTGTTTTTTTTTGGCGAAACGAAATCGAGGGAAACATGCAATTATTCAATTAAACGTTAAAGGTATTTGATTCAAATTTATTTTCAACAGCTCCAACAACGCTACACGACATACATTATAAAGCATAATGACTAACACAATTATACGTATATTTTACGTGTGCACTATTGAAACTTGCAAATAAATATACCTGATTTTAACAACAAATTAATTTTAAACAATAAGTACATAAAACATAATGAACCACGAGCTAACATCGTGCGCAACTTCCTTGCTGCTTGGTTTACTAAGCCTGAATTACAAGAATAGAGATTCACACTAATAAAAACAATTAAAGTGCTCGAAATCAAAACCACCTTTGGGACCTGACCTAAAATGTGGGGTGGTCTTGTATGTCTCATTGAAAAAATAGAGGATTGTTATTTGGTATTTTGAAAAAATGTTCTCCAGTTAATGTGGTCACCAATTGAAGGATGAGCTGTAAAAAATGTATTTTTTTTTATGGAGATTTGATGTAGACCTAATACTATTTTTTCTTGATCAATTTCATATGGATTCTTTAAATTGTACAATGTTTCCTTGAGATATTTTTAATTTCTTCGTTTTTATTGGAGATAATATATTTTATCTTTTATTATTAAGTTTTACGTTTTTGTTGAAATTTTACTATTTGTGCAATTTTAAGAGGTTTTTAGACACATACTCTTCTCCATCAGGATCTGACGTTTTACTACTGAATTAGTATGTTATAATATTTATGTGCAATGTCTTGCAGATTGCCCGTTAAGTAAGTATGGACCTGCTTGTGATTTAGACTGTCCAGTTTGTTACAATGGTGGGATTTGTGATTCTGTAACTTCTTCATGCATTTGTCCAAGTGGTTTTACTGGATCTGACTGTTCAGTAGGTAAATATCAGAAGTTTATTAAATTACGTATTATCTGTATATTCCATTACAATTATTGTACCGCGGTAGTGTTTCCAGTTTAGGTCTCAATAATGATTATATGTGAAAAAATAAACGTTAAGAGAACTTAAGAAATAATACACTTTGAAATAATTACCAAAATTAATATTTTTTGTGCTGCTCTAGGGAAAATACACAAAGAAACACACAAACACACACACACACACACCCACACACACACAAAAACGTGGCTAACGTTAACATTCATAAAGTAACCCTTCAACTTAGGTTTAAACATATCAAAATTAACTGCAATAACAACAATAGCTCTAACAAAGAGGCATTGCACATCCTGACATATCTGGTAGATTATGAAGGAGTTGTTGGAGACTTATTCAAAAATTAATTTTTATTGTTGGATTTGATTTTTACTCTTGTTGTTAGTATGTAAAAATGGTTCTTGGGGACAAGATTGTTCACTGAACTGCAATAACGAAAACAACGGTTGCCTAGGAAACTTATTCTGCCCGGCAACACCTCTTGGATGCTCTTGCTTACCAGGATTTCAAGGAGCTGACTGCAAAGAAGGTAACATGTGTACTTTATTCTCGGTGGTGGCTGAGTAGTAGTGGTGGTAATAGTAGTGGTAGTGGTTGTTGTAGTGGTGGTAGTAGTAATAGTAGCAGCAGTACAGAAGCAAGGCCTACCTTCTAACGTATGCAGTACTGCAATGTCTGAATAATTTTGTTTCAGTGTGTGCAGATGGCTTCTATGGTGCAGATTGTAAACAAGTCTGTAACTGTCCGTCATCTAGTTGTGACCCAGTCTTGGGATGTGCCCTTGGGACTTGCTGCCCAGGCTATGGTGGACCCCAATGCCAAGGTATATTTTGACATTTTTATGATTTCCGTTATTACGTGAACTATTTCACAGTGGCTTTTATAGAAAGTTTGAAAGCAAACATTTTATTTTCAGAACATATTGGGAATGTATCGTGTAATAATGGTACGTTCGGACCACTTTGTAACCATCACTGCCATTGTAAACATGCTAATTCATGCCATGATAACGGTACCTGCAAAGATGGAGTCTGTGGTGACGGTTGGGCTGGACACGATTGTCATATAGGTAAATCTGAAACTGTCGACTGATGCTACTAAAATGAAATGAAAAATGAAAAACGTATAGATTTTTTTTCCCACATCATAATTCTTTTCAATTCATTTTTGTCTGGTTTCAAGTTATGTAATATCCGACGAACAGTTAGTCGTAAACATTATAGTTGATAAGTGAAATACCTGTATACAGGATATGTTGTTTACTTGCAGCTCTGCCTTATCTTGCATACGGCCCAACATTATCGGTTTCTAAAAATCGCCGAGAGATCTTTGTAAGTTGGTTTGATTGGACATTCGGTCGAGACTTCGGAACTGGTCCAGTTGTACTGTACGAAATATTCTACAAGGACGCAATCAATGGTAACTACACAATGGCTGGTACTACAGAAACTACTGATTTTTTGTTGAATAAACTAAGACCAGGAAAGCAGTACATTGTGTACATCAACTGCTTGAAGGATGTTGATGGACTCTTAGTGTCTGGACCAGCAAGTCCATCTAGTGCTGTTTCAACTTGCAGATTGACAGGTAGCAAATTAAATTCAATTTAGACTCCAAATTAAATTCCAATTGGTAAATTTTCAAATTTAAACATATCTATACAATAATATAATAAAATAATAATATTTTATATACCGAAAACGACTATTGGGTTACTCAGTAACTTTAAAGTTAGGAAAATATAATTTATCAGGATAGCTCAGTCGGCATTGGTTGTTTGTGCAACAATTCCTGTACAACAGTAACTATAATGTTGTGCAAGAGTGACGCCTGCAGCAAGTCAGATAAATATACAAGATGGTGTTGTATACACCATTTTTGCTAAATTTGTAAAAGTAAAAATAAAAAAAATTTAAAAAACTACTCCTGGGGGACTTCCAGGGGCCTAGGCATTTCGGTCTAGGTATTTACCAGTGTTTCTGTGCTGTGGCCGGTAAACGACCTTCTTTGTTGTAGTGTGTTAACCTAGGGTGGTCTTTGAAAACAAAATGCCAAAACAAACAAATATGGGCGCATTAATCCTGCAGTGTTTTTTGATGTCGAAGTACTCAAAAGAAGATATGTGAAAGGAAAACCGGAGTTTGCTCAGGCTAGGCAGAAACAACACTGGTTAGGTCTACCTACATTCTTTAATTCGATTCCATCGTAGATGTTCTTGTTTTTAACAACCACACCCTCTTTCAGAAAAGACGTTTAGGTATGGTAGTTTGTCCCATTATCCTTAATTGATTACGGTGTTTCAGACGAGAAAAAATATCGACTAATCAACTCGCCTTTGTTAATGTTGGTTTCTAATATTAGTCAATCTATTTTTCATATTTTATTTCTTATTTCCAGATTTGTACTAACGCCGCTCTCTTGATGTTCGGTGCCATGCGTATTCCATCTCAGCACTGCTGGTCTTAGAATAGGGTTTAGTACTATATATACACATATAGCTGTTCACAGTAAACATTAGGTATAATATTAATACTGTAAAATCATCATACATTACGATACGATATAAAATATTTTAAGTGCTATGTGAGAATGATGCTTGCGTTTATATTAAATAGTATAGACACCAAGCAATATAGTTATAGTGTACTAAGTGGTGTTTGTCATCATTACATCGGTATCACTTTTATTATGTTCGATACTACAACACCATTGTCTTCATCATAATATTATCATTAATAGTATTGTTATCACCAGTAGCATTGTTATCAGTAGCATTTTTATCAATATTATTGTTATCATTATCAATGTTGTAATTCTTATTAATCGCTTTCATTTAAAGCATCTACATTAACATTTACTAACCTTATCATATAATTATCATCGTCATTATTATGCCGGAATCTAGACATAATGATCATCATCACATTATTATTAAAAGCTATAAACATCATACAGCACTAAGTCTCCCAATTGCTATAATTACACTTGTTCAGAGAACTAGCAACAATATTTTTTGTATTTTTAAGACGCAACTTGAAAAACGTCTTTAAAATTACTCTGAATATATCCTGAATTTTTATAAATATTAGGACTATATAAAATATGCTAGATTGGTATCACCTAGCATTTGTTAATATGTTCCATCACAATAATCATGCTCCAGGCCCATTGGGGGTGCAGAGGAGGCACCCCCAAATTCCAAAAGTTCAACTTTTTAAATCCTATTATTTCACAAAATCGTTTCTAATTATCACAAAATGCTATAGCATGCATTGCATTACTTTATATATTTGCCAGCTCATCTAACCGTTGATTTTTAATATGGTATGAAATTCGTCTCCGGTGATTGTAGATTGATCTATAATATGAACAATTTTATCTGTAGGCCTGCAGATGTACAGGACATAATAACGTTACTTCTTCAGGTCTCCAAAACACCCAAATTAATGAAAATTTAAATAAAATATTCACAAATTATGTGTTTGAGAAATCTATTATATAAGACCCTCGAAATGCTACTTAATTGTCGGAGCCTCCTGGGACTTTTCTCACAAACCCCCTCCATGCCTTTGCCCCTGGACCACCGAATTTCAAAAAGTCCACTTTTAAAACCTATTATTTTATGCTATGTAATCTGTGTGTGTATATTCACTCAAAAACAAATGATTAGAACATCATAAAACCTGAAAAGTTCCGATTTGGTAAAATTTTAAGAATTCAGACTCATGTATTGTTCATCTGTTGTAGACGTAATCGTAACGGTTTTGTATTTATTCAGCGCCTTACACAATAACGATCACAATGCACTTTTACAACCACTAAACATAAAAACCGAAATTATAAGTATCGTTTCAACAGAAAAAAAACCCACTTGAGATGGCGTCGCTATAACTACCGTGTACGCGCAGTGACCTCGGCGTCAGTGTGTTAGGCTAAAGCTACATTCACACTAATCCCCAGATAATAATAATAATAATAATAATAATAATAATAATAATAATAATAATAATAATAATATGTCGTTCTTATATTATTAGCGCTTCATGCCTTTACAAGGCCTCTAAGCGCTTCACATTCTGGTCCCTGACTCGTGTATATAACTGTTCATCTGTTGTAGACGTAATCGTAACGGTTTTGTATTTATTCATCACCTTACAAAATTAATAACGATCACAATGCACTTTCAAAACCACCAACATAAAAACCAACAGAAAAAAACCACTTGAAATGGCGTCGCTATCACTACCGTGTACGCGCAGTGACCTCGGCGTCAGTGTGTTATGCTAAGGCTACATTCACACTCATCCCCGGATTCTGGTCCCGAATTCGTGCTTGATGTGAACGTAGCTTTATGTAGCTTCCATCTCTACAGGGGAACAAACATGTATCTATCAACCATACCCTGCTAAAACGACACCACTTCAAGTAAGTACCATTAGGCCTATATTAGAAGTTAACAAGTAATGATGATGTATTGGCTTTATTGCAATTACTTTATTCTCATTCTCTCTTAAACATTATTGGCTGTCCTGTTTT